TGAAGAAAATACGGTCAATCTACCTCTTTGTTTATTGATGTGACAACATATAAAAATAATTTTGAAAAAAGTAAAAAATTAACTTTTTCTTCATCTTCTCAAATGGTTTTGGGTAAGGCTGTAAATGAACTAAGTTGTTCATGAACAAACTCAGCTCGGCTCGTTAAAGGTTTGGCTCATTTAGTAAACGAATCGAGCTCGAGTTCAAATATTAGGCTCATTTAGTAAACGAGTCGAGCTCGACTCATTTATCTTTATTTAAATTATATAATAAATGTATTATTTGTATATTAAATAATATAAATAATATATAAATATATATAAATAATATTTTTTATTTAAATATTTTATTTAAATAATATGAATAATATTAAAAAAAATTATCAAGCCGAGCTCGAGTTTCATTAATGTTAACGAGCCAAGCCGAGCCGAGCCGAGCTCGAGCTCGAGCCCAGTTTTTTATCGAATTGAGCTCGAGCTTAATAAATGAGCACGATAAGTAAACGAACCGAGCTCGAGCTTAGCAAAGCTCAATTTAGCTCAGTTCGTTTGCAATACTAGTCTTGGGCATAAAGCCAAAAAACAAGGAAATAAGCAAAAAAATTACTTATTTCTATCTTTCCAAAATAACTCTATGTTTCAACACAAAATAGTGAGTCTTACCCTTCGACCACCACTTTTGCTATTTTCCAAAGGTGTAATTGCACTTCCTGCCAATTTGGATGGGTCGGGAAGAAACTTACAATATAGAAGTTATGAGGAAGAAAAAATAATAAAGAAGAGTTGAAGAAATGATATTTCAAGTTTTTAATTAATCAATAAATAATGAATATGAGTAGACATGAGATTTAAAATAAGGAAGAAAATACATTAATATATATACAGACTTACTTATTATTGTCTTAATAATCTTAGGCTATATTTGTTTGGATGGACATGAGTTTGGGATTGGACTAATAGTCCAATAAAATTATTAATCCGATATTTGGTTAAACAATTGAAGTACGGATTAATTATTTTAAACTTGACTATTAGTTAAGATCGGATACATAATCCAACGGATTCGTAGTCTTAGAACTATTAGTCATGGGAATGCTAATCCAGTCCGACCAAACAAACATGGCCTTACTTTATAAAATATTGCACAACTCAAGGATCTGAATTCTTTTCATGTTTTATGTGAAATTAAACAACCAAATATCATATATATAACTCATTAGATTCACATTACACAAAAAATAATAAAATTCGAATGAGTTATACTCTCACTCACTCACTCTCTCTCTCTCTAAAGGTTAATTACATTAAAATTCTTTTAATTATTAATTGATTTATTTTACCTTTCTCATTTATGAACTTATTCATAAAGCCCCTTCAATAACTTTCATCACTCCAAAAAAAGAAAAAGAAAAAAGAAAGTCATATTACGAATCCAAACTTAACGATAAGAAATTATTTAAAATTATCCAAAATTATCATCTTGTGATTTATATTTATTTTACATATGAATATCACACTATACAAATTTAATCTTCACTACACAAATTTTCACCCAAAAAAATTTGAGTAGTTAAGTCTGATAACAATACTTTAAAAAAAAAAAAAAAAAAAACATTCACACGATTTTTATTGTTAAAAGAATTAAACATACTACTGATTAATTGATGAGAAAAGTAAATTAATATTCATTTGAAAGGTTTTTATAATTAATCCCTATTAAAATAAATAAATAAAACCCTAGATTACATCACATTGCTAGTTTTTGGAATGTTCTCTCTCTCTCTCTCAATGATAAGAAGGACAAAAAGACTCATGTTTAGTCCTTAACCTCTCAACGAACTCCCCTTGTGTGAGGACATATTTGGTCCAATGGCATGTGGGTCGCAGGTGCCATCTGTAGAATAAGACAACAAGAAACATTCCACGCACATACTTCAAAAAAATAGCAAGTTGGTTGATGCTTAAAATTGTCACAAAACACAAAATAAGTTATTTTAGTCATAACAAATAAAATATCATATGTAATTCATAATTATTACATTCTTTCCTCACAAAAAAAGTCAAAAAAGTCAAGAAATCAAAAAGTTCTTTCCAAACTAAATTTTTTAACCCGGGCTAAAATAACCAAAAAAGTCAAAAAGCCAAAAAGCCAATCCACTTTCCAAATGGAGGGAAAAACAAAAACAATTCGGTGGACATCACATTGCTAGTTTTTGGAATGTTCTCTCTCTCTCTCTCAATGATAAGAAGGACAAAAAGACTCATGTTTAGTCCTTAACCTCTCAACGAACTCCCCTTGTGTGAGGACATATTTGGTCCAATGGCATGTCACTCTAGAGGATCCTTGGTGGAATAAGACAACAAGAAACATTCCACGCACATACTTCAAAAAAATAGCAAGTTGGTTTATGCTTAAAATTGTCACAAAAGACAAAATAAGTTATTTTAGTCATAACAAACAAAATATCACATCTAATTCATAATTATTACATTCTTTCCTCACAAAAAAAGTCAAAAAAACTAAGAAATCAAAAAGTCCTTTCCAAACTAAATTTTTTAACCCGGGCTAAAATAACCAAAAAAGTCAAAAAGTCAATCCACTTTCCAAATGGAAGGAAAAACAAAAACAATTCGGTGGTATTATATGACTAATTGATATATCAATAATATATGTTATAATATTATCATTTTAAAACTATAATCTCATTTATTATAAAATTACAAAGATTTTTAATCTCTAAAATTATGTCACATGTACACTAATTAATATATTAATAAGTAGTATATAGTATTATTCAAAACAAAATAGATAATGTAAATAAAAATTTAATATAATCGATAAATTCATCCAATCTAATCCAAACTTTTAATCCTAGTTTCGATTTAAAAAACTGATTAAACCATTTAAAGCAGTATATATTCTTAATTCTAAGATTTACAGTTCATTGTATATTTGTTTATTATTATTTAATATTTTTATTTGTAAAAATAAGAATACAAAAATTATTAATAAAATTTAAACACAAATCTTAATTTTAAAACTAACAAGCTCTATCCAACTTAACTAAATTAATTGTTATTAATTTATTTACTATATTAAAATATATATATCATATTTTTTATATAAAATGTTTAAAATCATAGAGGCGTTCTGTAGATCAATTCTAATTGCATTACAAAGATTTAGCTATTTCAATTTTCATAATCATAGAAATCAATTTAATTCGATTCATCAACATCCTACTACTATTATTGATATGCCAATCCATGTGAAGCGGGACCTAATATATTGGTATGTCTATTAGGGATGTAATTGGTCTTGTATAATTGGTATTTAGGTAAAAATTTTCATCGAATTAGTAATGTCAGTTTTATTATTTTGAACACCGATACAAATTATTTCTCTCATCAAACCGCACTAAACCAAACCGATTGAAATGGTTTGGTTTGATGCGGTTTAGTTAGTGTAGGACCTTTCAAATTTTAGCAACTTTTTAGTATAGTCACTAGTCTATGTAAAAACTATGAATTAGTTATTTATCCACAAGTTCAAACATGTCCAATCTATCTATTTAATAAATACTTTCAAGTTCCTAAATTAACAAAAATACAAACAAAAAAATAATAATAAATATTAGGCACTATTTGGCATATAAATAAGTATACTTATTTAGATAAGTGCACTTGATTGGGTCACATCACCTATCTATTTTTTTACATATCTTTTCGTAAAAAATCAAAAAATTTACTTATTTATATCATTTTAAACACCCCCAAAGAATAGTGAATTAGAATTAAGATTATATAATAAGAGTTTACTAAGAGCGTCTCCAACGCTTCATCTTTTGGTTCATTCAATTTAAATTTGATAAAAAGAGTAGACCGTTTGGTGCTCCAACGCTTACACCAAACCGGTATTAAATCGAGGGTATCTTCAATTTTTCATCAAATTGAGGATGGCTGGTGCCTTCCATCAATTCACTGTACATAGCCGTTAGAGATGCAAGTATGTATGAGCACCGAACAACCGGCCAAATGTCCGACCAGTTGTCTCCTCAATTGACCACCTTCTTACAAAATTTGTTTTAGAATTTTGAAAAATTTACACCGTTCAGACATTCCTGATCATCCACCCAATTGACCGGTAATTTAATGAAATCTTAGATTACTCCGTTAAAACGTACGATATCAGATTTTTAAAAAAAAGGATTAAAATGTTAGAAATGCTCTAACTTGGATTATAGCAATGATAAAGTTAATTAATTGAGATTAATAATTTATTATGCTTAATAATATTATTTTATTATTAAATTATATATATTATAAATATAATATATGATGAAGCAATTGATTTTGATTTAATTTAGTACATAAAATGCTTAAACGGATATCAAACCAAAAATCACAAAAAATTAATTAAAAAATCATACAAATCAATTCTTATTTTCAAAAAAAAAAAAAAATACCAAATATAACCATTTCAGTCCGATACAATCAGTTTGATCCATTTTTTTATGAATAATACTTGGGACCCCCTTTTGGGGGTCACCCCCTCACCCCTTTGCCACGTGGCGGGTGGTGATTGGAGGAGTAGGAAAAAAAAAATGTAACCAATGAGAGAGAGAAAGGGGTCAAAGGGGGTGGAGGCAAAAGGGGATGAATCATTGTTGTTTTTTTATTTTCCTTGCATCCCTAATGTCTATCCATGTGGAGAGATAGAGAGAGTGCAATGCAAGCAAATTTCCAGCACAAGGTGAGACCACACTCACGACAAGGACTCGGGACCACCTGAATACCCTTTCGTAATATGTCACGATGTCCATTTCTGTCCAGCTAAAAAGCCAAGCAACAGTCTCTTAAAACTAGGTTTTTTCCTGATGGTCCATGATCTACAAGAGGGTCTACGCTACACCCAATCAAGGCCGGTTTACCCCTAGAATACCCCTAGAATCAAATCTCTGTTGTCATATCATCTAACACTCTAGACAATAGAGGAAAACTTTGGCAAACAATAGCGTTCCGGAATATGAAGAAAATACAAAGTCTCCCACAATGGTCGTATTGTTTACAAGGTACAACACAAGCGTATACCCTAAAATCAGAACAAAGATACCTTTCAAATTGGAAGAGCATACTCATCCTTAGTGTTTGGTGTCAACTGTAAGTATAGGTCAGAAAATCTCACATCAACCCATGTTTTTCTAGCATCTCTACTTACAAGCCTTTTCCGTGCTTTGCTTAGCTCTTTACACGTTTACTTCAATGATCGGATTAAAAAAAACCACTAGTGTTTTACTACTACTATACAAAAACAAATCCCAAACACATTACACGGTGGTGGCGGTGGTGCTGTCCTCAATATGAGCCTGATTGTCTCTGCAAATCCCATCAGATTTGTCACTCTGCAACCTTTTACGCTTGCACCAACATAAATACCGAGGGATAGGCCCTTCTTCTCCAACAACCCAAGCATGCTCAGAAACAGCCCCTAATGTCATCCTGCGTCTTGGATCTGCATAAACAGTGTTTGAAAGTTTCAACAAGGAAAGAAAAAAGAAGAATAAATATCACTAACACTCTGTTTGTTTTGGCAAAAAACTTCTTTCAGAAAAAGTTTTCCGGAGAAAACAACTTTTTATGTTTTGGTTTGGTCGCATCATTGAAACTAATATACTAATGGTGATATTGGTGGTGGCGGTGGTGGTGGCAATGCGGAGGAGGAGGAGGTGGAGGTGGACGTGGAGGTGATGCTGGCTGGTAGTGTGATGGCATTGATAAGACTTTAGTCCAAATAATTTTCCACCTTTCAAAAGATGAAAACATTTTTCGCCCAAATAGACTTACTTTTCATCGACCATAGAAAAGCCAAAATTAGCCTGCTTGATGGAAAAAGGTGGAACATCACAGAAGTGAGAAATAGGGGAGCAAAAATCAAATTCATGGACTTCATTTGCACAAATCTAAATTATTTTCCCTACTTTCCTTCTTTTTTTTTCTTTTTTTTTAATATATATTCCCCCAAAAGAAAAGATCCAAAACCACCAGCTGAAAGTAGAAGAGATTGACCTTTGCAGAGTAAACCTTCCAGTAAGTTCTTCAGCAAGGGGTTCACACAATCAGGGAGAGATAAAGGGTTATTAACGATCTGTGGAAAACAAAAAGTTACGAAGTTAAAAATAAAATAAAGATGCTAGATATGAACAATAAATAAATAACTAATGTGAAATATACTGTTTGGATCTTGGATTCACTTTTCCCTTGCCTTTTTTCCTCCACAAACCCAAAATCCATACACAACCTAAATGTGGCAATACAAGCAATCCACAATACCTTGTCATATGTATCCTGCAGTGTGTCTCCAAGAAATGGGTATTTACCGAAGACCATACAGTACAAACTAACTCCCATTGCCCACGTGTCAGCTGCTTTGCCACCATATGTTAGACCTGTTTATCAGATAACAATCTACAAGCTGAGTGGTAAATACATCCCATGCACTTTGTGATTTTGATTTTGGAAAAAAAAAATTCCCAAATGGACAGAGAGATATCTAACCTAAACAGCACTCTGGTGCAGTAAATACAGGAGTTCCAGGAGAGCGGCGAAGCTCATCATTATCATCCTGCAAATGAACCAAACCAAACGGAATGCGAGGCAGTTAGGAATAACATCATGCTGGACTTCCTATCGGTTGCAGCTGGAAACTGAATAACTTTGGACAACAATAGAAATAAAGTGGTTTTGTAGAGAATAGAAACATAGAATCACATCAATGAGCAGCAATCAAGTCACTAGTACAGATAGCAAATCAATCTGACGTAGAAAGCCCGATATCTGTGAGTTTTTTTCTGCATTGTGGCATAAAAGAAAATTCAATTTGACCCAATTTCATACATTCCAAAGATTGATTGGCAAAATAGGATTCGTCAAAGCAAAAGCTCAACCTAAGCAAATCTCTCTTCCCCAAGCACAAGCCAAACTCACGTCAAGCTTATAGGATATGTTGCTAGGGTTGGTCAAGCTGAATATTAATAGGTTGTTTGGGGTGTCCTAAATAAGTGCACTTTTTGTCTTTTTGGACTAAAAAGTTGAGAAAAAAAATATGAATGTTTGGGTTAACATTGTCTTTTTACGAAAAAATATGTAATAAAAAATTGTATAAATAAAGTGTATAGGAGAAGAAAGTTGAGTAGGTTGTATATGTCTTACACAGCAAATTATTGCCTCCTTCGGGGCAAAGTGTTTGGACAGTGATGGTCGGTCCGTGGGGGCCACCACGGGTCCCATTTTAATAATTTGAACCGTTTAATATGTACAACTCGTCGAGTATTATATGCCTGTAAAAAATCACGTTGATCGAATATCGATAGCTATATGATCGGATTAGTTTTTTTTCAACAGTTAAGTATCACACCATCCATTTTGTTTATACAAAACTGATTTAATCATATAATTAATAGGAATGGCAACAGGGCGGGGCGGGACCAGGGATCACCCTCCCCGTCCCCGATGGTGAAAATTATCCTGTCCCCGGCCCCGATCCCCGACGGGGGACCCATCATCGTCCCCGCCCCCGTCCCCTAACGGGGATCGATTTTCCCCAACCCCAGACATTCCCCGGGCCAAAAAAAAAACCAACAGCAACAATAATAATCTTGTTAGATCTGAGATGAACAACAATGCACAACAATAATAATCTAATAATGATCCTCTGTTTCTTCTTCGTCAACAACAACAACAACAATGAGATATATATATATTCTGAATCAAAAAAAAATCTGAATCAAATATATATATATATATATATAGAGAGAGAGAGAGAGAGTGATTCACGATATAGAGAATGATTCAAAAAATATATAGAGAGAGAGAGAGTGATTCAAAATATATATATATATATCTGAATCAAAAAAAAAATCTGAGATCTAAGGGCTGATTCACGATCTGTTGGTGATCACGATCTAAGGGCTCATTCACGATCTGTTTCCGAGAGAGATTCACGATCTGAGATCTGTTGGCTGATTCACGATCTGTGGCTGATTCCGAGCGTGAGACCGAGAGGGACAGAAGAACCATTCTCTGATTCACGATCTGTTGGCTGATTCCGAGAGTGATTCCGAAAGGGACAGAAGAGAAGAGAGAAGAGAGTGGTTCTTCCATTGACGATTGGTGGTGGTCGGTGACAAGGCAGCAACAGAGGTGAGGAGAAGAGAGAGAGAGGGGGCTTAGGGTGTGAGACGAAGACCAAGATGAAAACTAGATTAGGGTGTGTGAGAGAGAGAGAGTAGTGTGGAAGAGAATGGATTTTGTGAAATCAGTGAATAGAGAAATGAGTGAATAGGAAAGTATATATATACGGGGATAAGTTCGGGGATAAACCAGGCCGGGGAACGGGGACGGGGACGGGCCGGGTACGGGGAACACTTATCCCCGTCCCCGTGGGGGTATTTTTCGGGAAAAACCCGCTCAATTCGGGGTCGGGGGATTAGGTCCCCATCGGGCCGGTTTCAAATTGTCATCCCTAATAGTTAACGATATCCGATTAACGTGATTTTTTACAGACATATAGTACTCGACGAATTCTACATATTGAACGGTTCGGATTATCAAAACGGAACACTTAGTGGGCCCCTCAAAGGCCCAACATTACCATCAAACTTTGTGGCTTTACATATGTAATTTTTTTTTTTTTTGCCCAAAAAGTGTATGACCTGCCTTCGGGGCAGTACAACTGACAGTGTAATTCAAATTTTTATATTACAAAAATGTATAAAATATTTTTTTAATATTTTTTATTTGTGAATAGTAATGACTTTTTTGCTTTTTGGCTTTTTGAATTTTTTGGGACTTGCCAAACCTGGCCTAAGTTCAACCAAGCCTTCCATTAAAATGACATACCAAAGCTCACAAGCAAGTAGAAGTGCTACAAAGAACATGATACGTAACTTGGTCGCTCATTGATGCTCACTGTAATTGATTGGCATTTTTGGACAAGTGGATCAAAATCAATCTATTTTGACATATAAAATCAAATATAGGCAAAATATTGACACACGATCAATACAGCAAGTGATATTCTGTCCACTGATCTAACAACGTCCAGAAGTCATGTTCCATTAGGAGCCATGATTGGGGGCTATGTAAATGTTATGATGAGAAAATTGTTCAAATGCTACAACCAGTCTAATCATTAACAGGCAAATCAAGGCAAAATTTTTCACTCCCATCTGGAATAAGATTACAGAGCAAGACCAAAAACAGGTATATTATAATATTAGATTGTTTTCCAATTATTAATAAACAATACTATGAATGCGGTAGACACCAAATTCCTCTCCAATCACAATATAAAGCACTCAATGTGAGCCACTGACCTCCAGAAACTAGACAAGTTAAAAGGAAAGATAAAGACAAGACAATCAGTACGAACAAGTTAAATCAGTATGTCCACAAGTGCAGATGAATCATGAATGCAATTTCCAAATTTTTTATTGAAACAAAGCTACAGATCAAGACACCAGGCATATCAAATCCATTTCCAATTGTCAGAAAAAAATTGAACAAAAATAATGAAAATTAAATCAACAAGGTTTAACAAGGATAAACCTAGAGTGCTTGTTAGCTTATTAAGCCAAGTTTGCCACAGATTTACAAAGCAAGCTATGCAAAATATGATCAGGCCTATGTTACCTGAAACGTGGATCATTCCGGTACAGGGAACGAGAACGGGATCGTGGTACGCCACATGCTCTAAAATGTGGTACAATAGGGGTAGACTTGTATATACGATACTTGCAAATTTAAGATACTTTTAGAATAATTTTCTTTTAACTATTAGGCATCTAATAAAATTTAGTTTTTCTTCTTCATGTAGCAAAACATTTTTTATGTTTTGTCTTGTCAAAACTTAACTTACCTTAAATTTTAATTCATTATATTTGATTTTTTCCTCCTAAGAAAACATTTAAGAAAATTTATTGGAAAAAACTTTCGGGATCGTTTCAAATTGCTAAATTTACCATTTTGGAACGCATGTGTACCATATTTTGGAACCTGTGTACCAATACGCAATTTGCTAGGGTATTAGCGTTTTCTGGTAACATAGGATCAGGCATGGCTCATGATCATTTAACAAAGCCAATCTCAAGTGAGATTGTAACCAAGCTGATTAAATAAATGCATGTGTTTTTAATCATAATAGTTATTTCAAAAAAATATATATATCATAATTAACAAAAGCTAATAAAAATGAATATTCTACAAAGGAAAAAAGGAAAAGAAAAACAAAAAAGAAAACAACAATCAAATTTCCTGCATATCATTCCTTGAAAAAAAAACATATGCATACATCTAATTATTCTAATCAAATCATGGTTAAAGCAGATCAATACCTCAAAAACCTGGCTGACACTGAAGTCCCCAATCTTCACTGTACCAGCAGCAGTGACCAATAGATTATCAGGTTTAATATCACCATGTACAATATTCTGTTGGAAAAAAACAAAAATCAATATAATGTTTTGTGACACAAGAAGAGGCAAACACAGGAAAACCATAACTATAATTTGGGTTAAACAGAGCACAAGACACAATTGAAAAGGCAACCATCATTTTCTGGTGTTCAAGTCTGCATTTCAAAATGTGATTTAATCACATGCCCACATGTCAATGAATAATTTAAAACAGGGTAGTGAAGAGATGGTATGGGGGAGTGGAAAACTCAGTACTTTGGGGTGTGGTTTTCTTACATTTTTTCCCAAACAGTTATTGATGGGAATAATTTAAAATAATTGTAAAACTTATTTTATTTGGATAATTTTGGTATTATAATTTGAGTTAACACAACTTCAATTGTGTGTTCACACCAATTGGTGGGGTGTTCACATTATAATATACTAGCAGGTGGCACACACGATACGTGTGCAATTCAAATAACTAATAATAAAAACAAATAATAAAGAATTTAATATCATAATATGTATGTTGCTTAAGTGATAAGTATATTCTTAATTAAACCCAAGGTCTCGGGTTCAAAACTAGCTTACGTTGTGTATAATAATTTTTTTATTTTAGCATATATAAAGTTGACACGTGACATGAGTAGAAGAAGGTTTCGCTAATCCAATTTAGGCCCTCACTTAATAATAGTATAGATAATATACTTAGTATAGAACAGATGTATAACTAAAAAAAGTATAATAACTTCCTTCACAAATCTCACCAACAACAAGAAGCATGCAAACTACTTTAGTCTGTAAACATACACTGACAATACACATCTACCATGAAAAATGCCAAGAACTAGTAAATGACATTGAGCTAAGAGTTAGCTATAGATAAAAATCTCAAAGCAAAAGCTAGTTAAGTCAATCTAGCATCATTGCTGGGCAGACACTATAAACAGAGAACAGAAAGATAAAAAAACCCTTGTTGCAGTCCACAAGAAGATAAAGAAACAAAAAAAAACAAAATTAAAGGAAATTCCAAGTTTGAAAATTAGTTGTTTTCAACCCAAACTCAATTGGGAAAATTTCATAACATAAATAATTAGGTTTTTTGGTTTAGTATAGTCTTATATTATGAATATTTAGGGTATGTATTTATCTAGTTAGTTTTCTATATGATATGGGGTATTTTTGGAAATTTGCAAAATTTCCTTGACATGGACTATAGATCACCCATGGGTCATTGTAATGTCAAGTCATGTTTTCTAACCTGAACAATAGATAAGTTTTGAGAGTCAAAAGTTTTAGTTTTCTAACTGGAAATCCAATTCCTATTAAGTTACAAAATACTTACTAAGTCCATAAAATACGTGTCAGACAGAATAATCTTGAGAGAATTAATTCCAGCAAATAAGCATCTTTGACATTCAGTGATGCAATTAAACTCTAGATGTGATGCCTAAAGCCTCTACTCGTGATTCCTATTAACTACCTTCGTATCCTTCTCCTTTAATTAATTTTTCAGCATTTTTAACCTAAACCACAAAACCAGATCTCTACTAATCCCCATTCAACCATCTAGTACCATTGTTCCTCAACCCTAGTACCCTACTTGCAAAAAAACATAAAACGGCCCCTACTTAGTTACCAGAACAACACCAAAATCTCATACCTTCACTCTCAAAACTATATCCTTTTTGACTTTTGAAACCTTACAACCCCATATTTTGCCACCATCTAGCCTTCGCAATATATTCAGCCCTAAAAGTTCAGGTTTCCGGCTGCGATATTGTAATTCTGGGCTCACTACTAATATTAGGAGAATAAAAACTATTCATCAAACAAAAAGTTGATTTACGTTTCACACTAGCAGGTAGTAAAATCAATTAGAAGATAAAAAAAAATTGCTTTTAAACTGATCCCAGCAGCCAAAAAAATCCACATTATGGCTGATTAATAGCAATTAGCTATGAGGTTTGAAAATTTTCATTACTCATGCATAACAACATCAAAACAATTGATGTTTGCATGCACAAAAAGGAATAGGGTCAAATCAATTAAGTAACTACGATAAATTTAACATTTGTTTTCAAAACAAAATATCATAGTCAACCCAACAATCAGACCTTAGCAATAGCTAAGATCATAAGAGCACTGTAGAACCAAAAAAAGAAAAAAAAGGAAGGTAGAAAATAAATACATGAGCATGGAGATACATCAACCCAGAAACTATATCCCGCAAGTACTTTCGTGCTTTGTTTTCTCCCAAGCCACCTGGTGGACCAGAACCCTCACAGACCCATTTGCCTTCCACATATTCCAGAACTGAGCAAAGGAAAGAAGTGTTCACCATCAAACACAAGGCAACTTTCACATTTTTCAAAAATTATTAACATCGTGCAAGATGATGATCACATTCAGACACAGACGTGTAGAATAAAGTGAGAGCGGGCAAACCCAAAAACACAGGGGAGAGAGAGAGAATACCCATGTAAAAGTGATCTGTGGTAGGGTCATCGATCACCTCAATGAGATTAACTATATTGGGATGCTCCAACATTTTCATAATTAAGACCTGAAAAGCAAAAGAATTAACACAATTAACCTAGAACTCAAGACATGAAAAGAAAAGAACAACCAGCCAAAAAAAGAAACGGAACTATTAAAGCTGCATAAGTAATATACTAAAAAACTGTAAAGGAGTAACGAAGTCAGATCCATGTCGCTCTATATCAAAACAACCAGAAGCAGCACCAATATAGGCTACCTAATGCCAGGATGCTGCACGTTCTCACCATGTCCATAACCCAATATGTAAATCAACAATTAGTGTAATTTTCAGAAGATTTCACTTTAAACATCCATGTTGAAGAGCTTGCTAGAGTTCACAAGAAATTCAAATAACATTTGAACAAGATAAATTACACAGGACATTAGAAAATACCTCACGGAGAACGTCAGTCATAGCAGTCTCACAAGGTGCTACTCGCTGTTTCAGTAAATAAGACTTGTGAAAGGACTGCAAGTTAAAATTGGAAATATTGGTTAATTATGAAACTATATGGCACTATATTTCAGTTTCACAATGCTATGTAGTCATAAATTTGGACCAATACGATTATATATGAACTATTTGGCATTAAGTTTCAGTTTCATAATGCTATGATTTATATCCCTAGAGGTACTAAACAAGGCAACTTATGTTTCCCTAAACAAAAATGATCTAACCCCAAATAAATAAACAAACATAATCAGCTCAAACTTTTCCAACAGGGTCAATGGGAATATGTAGAAATGGAGTGACATAATCCCAAACCACTCCACATTCACTATTTCCCAGTCACTCTTTATAACTTCAGTACAAGATAAATAAATGATAGGAAGCCTTTATGTTGATAAACTAGCATACTCAAACTCCACATCCCGCCAATAGAACAGAAGCATATCCAATAAAGCAAAAACACAAATTTATTTTCCTCAGGCAAGATGAAACAGAAGTAATTTCAACAATAAGCTAGACATGAACCACAAGGCTATGCAAACCTTTAAGGACAAAAATACATTGCACAATACTCAAGCCCCTACATAATGAAAGAACTACCTTGATTGCATAATGCTTCCCATCAACACTACTTCGGTAAAGAACCTGTTGCATTAGCAAGGCCATAAGAAGTCTAAAGAATAACTTCCTATACCAAGTAAAAAGTTACATAATATCACCATAGAAATAAAATTACCACTTTTCCATAGCTACCAGAACCAATCTTGAATTCACGAACATATTCATTAACCATCTTGTCCCCGTTTTCATCCTGATGATGAACCCAAAAATTAATAGTACTAAACCATACCAGATATCAATACTTCATTTGATGAAATTCCTGTACACGAGGTACAATATGTTTTCTTAACATAAAAAAAGTAAGTGGAGATGTGCACATAGAAGACAAATGACAAACAATATGATCTCATTTACAGCCAACTAGCAAGCACGTGCACAAATATAGGATTTAGCTTCAAATGGCCCCCTTCAATAATGTGGAGGGCAAACTACCAAATAACAACACCCATAAATATACATAAGACCAAAAAATTAAATAAAGAATGCTAATAGCATAATTTAGGAGTACTGAAAAAATGTACTTAGCAATGACTTGATATAACCACGACAAAGAATTAAGCAAATCACTTGGAACTTTTTCATCCATATAAAGCTACATAAATGATCTTTTAGACACAAACTTTCTAGAGGCATGATACCATTCAGAGGCATGCCAACATCATTGGCCAGATCAAGCAGACGAAGAGCCAAACTATTAGACTAATTGACTATTTGGATTCCAATCCCCAAACTTCCCTTATGAGTTATGTCACATCCAGATATTGTGCATCAAGCAAGATAGCTTTCATCCCTAAAATAATTTCGAGCCTAACAGCATCTCATGGACAACCTTACCATATGGAAAAACTTGACCAGTTGACATAGGTTCTTCAATGCATATACAGCCATGACAACATATATCAAACCAATAAAGTACACTATAGGACAAAAAATAACTCAGCAGAACTTTTGAACAAAGACAGCAGTAGAAGCTAATCAGTTGAGTAAAACTTTTGAACAAAGACAGCGGTGGAACCTAAATTACATTCCACTAATTACCTCTGAGCGAATAAGTTTGTGGGTCTCCTTAACAGGAAACTCCCTACAAATCAATCCATGTTGAATTCTGTACATGATAATCTCTTCAGAACATTTCGTAGGGCTACGCAGCTCACCTTCATCCCCATGTCCCGTATCAGATACATCATCATTATACGAACAATCGTCCACATCTTCTATATCTTCACTAAGCAACAACTCCTGTGACTCGTGATTGCCCATGTGTGCATTACGCCTTGCTAACTTTTTGGGTTTTCTTCCAAATGAAAATCCAAAACAATCACAGCACCCCATTCGGGTCACTCCCGCAAATGAAAATATCTTATTAAACATGAGACGTTTAAGCCTTGAAGTGATAAATTCCAATTTATAGGCCAACAAAATAACAAACTTTGACTGAACAAAACAATATTCCTGACATCAATATCAACCTCAAAGACTAACCCTGCTCCACAAAATGCAAAGTTAATTCCAACATTAAAATGGAAACAAACAAAAATTTAGTTATTTGTGCTACATGTGTGCTTGTGTTGTGCATATACGCGCGCAAATTGAAGGTTCTAACCTAGTTTATAAACTGTGGGCTCCAAGCCCTAACCGGCTTCGCTATTCCAACGGATGCCATTCAGAAAAATGAAAGAAACAATTGATGAAACTGATGCCGTTGCGATTCAACGCCGACATCTCGATAACACCAGTTTATAACAACAAATGCGGGCCACTCTTCACTCCTCGAACCACATCACCCACCACCAATACCTTGACTTTTTCCACCATAACAATAAAGAACATGAAAACTTATCAGAAATAAACAGACCAATAATAAAGATTGCATGAAGTTCAAGAAAGGACAAGCCACAACTCAGCACACAATAGTGACAATGAAATTTTGAAATCGAGCATATCAATAACAATATATATGTATATATTGAATCAAAGCATCGTTTACCCACCTTATGTTCGATGATGAAAGCAAGTTGAAAACCCTAGCTCCGACTCATCGAACCATAATTAAAAATCAAATCTTTTTCATGAGAGAACCAAACCCAGATCAAATAAACAAGTCGGTAACTAACAGAAACGGGTAATCTAACAATTGGGGATCGCAAAACCCAATATTTGGTTCAAGTGGGATGTGATACGAAAAACCGAATTCGATTCAGGAGAAGATAGAAAAACCCTAGATTGAGGGGGTTGGCGAGGATAATCGAGGGAATTGATTTGAAAACAAATAAATAAATCGGATTCTGTGTATATACAGAGATATGTATATTGGTCTGGATATATTTTGCTCCAATGTGACTACAGTGCGTGTGTGAGCATGGAGACGACAGCGAAGGCAACCCGCTAAAGAAGAAATTGCGCGAGCGCGAGAGAAAGAGAGATTTCTTGCCCTTTTTCCAAAGATAAGAGTTTTGGGTGAGATGGTTTTTGGCAAAGACAGCAATAAGGTTATTTTGGAAAATTACTTTATGCCTCCTTGGACAAGCGATTTTTTTTAGGAGAGCTTCTATTTACACATCCCCTTTCTCTCTTTGCACACGTTTCATAAAAATTATTTTTATTATAAATTTTTTTTTAAGTGAAATTACTATTATGGATATCAAATAAATATATTCAGAAGTTAAATGTCGAAAAAATAATAAAAATTCAGAAGTTTACTTTCGAACCAATTGTTTATTTTCGGAATGCTACTTCCGAACCAATTGCTTATTTTCGGAATGTTACTTTCGAACCAATTATTTATTGAAAAAGATGTGTATAAAGTGTAATGGGTGTGTGCAAATAAAAGCTCCATTTTTTTAGTCAAAAAGTCACTAAAAAAACTAAACAGCCAACAATCCATATCAAAAGTCAAAGATTCTCTTTCCTTTCTATTTTTTACACATCTTTTCGTAAAAAGTCAAAAAATCATCGTAAACATAATTTTTTTTAGCTCATATTTTAGCCAAATAGCTAAAAAGTTACTAAGGCCTCGTTTGGGAACAGGCTAATTTAGTAACTTTTTGGCTATTTGGCTAAAAAGGTAGGTAAAAAAAACTTGTATGTTTGGGATGACTTTTTGGCTAATTACGAAAAGATGTGCAAAAAGTAGAGAGAAAAGAGAATCTTTGACTTTTTAGTATGGGTTGTCGGCTTTTTGGCTAATTTAGTAACTTTTTGGCTAATTGGCTAAAATAGCCTCTTGCCAAACGAGGCCTAAATTAGCATGTTCCCCAACGAGGCCAGTTTGTCGTTAAAAAAAATTGTTTGGGATAGATTTTTTGGGTTTTTAAAATTTTTGTAAGAGAATAAATAAGGTGATTGTGGTTTAAATGTAATATTTTATTTTATTAAATTAAAAAAATTATTTTGTCTTTTTTATGATTATTTTAGTCAAAAAAATCTTATTTTAACTCATACTAAACGAAGGCATAGACATATGAGGGGAAAATTATATACTATTACTATGCATTCATATTCTTAGGAGTGGTTTGGGATCTCCTAAATAAGTATATTTTTTTTTCTTTTTATAAAAAGATGTGTAGAAAAATAGAAATGAGATGTTGATTAATGTGACCTAAAAAAGATAAAAAGATAGACTAAAATAAATTATGCCAAATGATAATTTATTCTGCCTTTTCATATTTCTCAATAATTTAACATAATATTTTATCTACTCATTTTTTTTCCAATATTATCGAGTATCTTGTGTACATACTTTACCATTATTGAATAATTATCCCATATGAGAAACACTCTTAGAACAAATAAAATAGAGTAAAGTAAACAAAATTAGTAGTATAACTTTAATTTTTTAAATCATAATTAAAAATATATCTATTATAACTAAACAAATAATTACAAAATTTATGAGTTGTATTAAAATAATATTATGATTAAAGAATAAAACTGAGTTATATTAAAATAATATTATGATTAAAGAATAAAACTACATAATTAGGAGTGTAGTATATTTTTTGGGGATTTTTATTGATAAATCTCAATTAGAAGTGTTCTGACTCAAAAAATTCATGAATAAATTTTTTAACCCACTTAGTCCCATGTATTTATGTTTTTATTTCATAAAGTTTTTTTTCTTGATTTATACTATTTTCTTAAACTCTTATGCCTTAATATTTAATATTGATATTTAATGTTAGGAAATGAGAGAGAAGGGAAATGATTAAGGCATAGGAAATTTCATGCACAAATTAAATAATATTGATATTATTATTTTATATTATTATACAATGTGAATATAATTTTAATTAACAACACATTAAAAATAATATAAGCATTCTCTCTCATCTGATTGAATATTATTTTAATTGACAACAATTAAAAATAATGTAAACATTCTCTCTTATCTAATGTGAGCATTCACAACACCTTCCCGAAAAATTCTCTCATCTAATGTAGTGATATGAACGTTCACATCATGTGAACTTTCTTATTTTTAATTGACAGCATATTAAAAATAATGTTCATTATATTTTTAATTGATAATACGTTCCTATTCATAACATGTAGTGATGTGAACGTTCACAACATGTGTACATTCTCTCTCATCTAATGTAGTGATGTGAACGTCGTATGTTTTAATATGAATATTCACATCATGTAATTAACAACACAGTGACAAAAATTCATTTCACATTAATGTGAATATTCATTTCAACTATATGATGAGAATATTCACATTATATAATTGATAACATAATGACAAATTCATTTTAAATTAATATGAATACAGTGACAGTAAACATAGTCAACATCCTAATACATGAGAACTATCAAAACATAATGACAATCAACATTAAATATCAACATTAATATGGGCAGGATAGATGGAGGGTTTTTTTGTCTTCTTACATCAAATAGGATCTAATAGAATAGTAAAAAAGAATGTGGGTTGGATGGAATAAAACTCTTAGAAAGAGGATTTATCAAAAAAGCTCCCTATTTTTTTAAAGGGATGTATATAAAAAATTGCCTAAGTGTATATATATATACGCATGTGTGTGTATGAAGTGTTTTGGTGTGTAAGATATATTATATATATTTGTATAAATTGTCATAAATATATACAAGTTATCTCATCAAATCGCGTAAGTTCTTACAAATATATAAGTTATTGTGGAGAGGTGGTTTGGAAATACTCTTCAGATCCTGGGAGACGCTAGTGATCCTCAGCTAGTCACCTGAAAATATACAAACACTCTGGTTGGGAGTGCCAGAATTAGTGTTTCGACGGACAAGTCAGTTCAAACACTCAAGATAGTTTGTTTACTAAGTTAAGCAAAAAGTGATTGTTACATACCTTTCTAAATTTATGGTTCTTGTATTTATACTTGCTTTTTGGGCCTCAGGGCCTGAGCCTACTTTTATCCCATTTTCCTTTTATTTATTCGGAGCTACTGATCTCCGTCTATTCGGCCTTCCTAACGTATTCGGCATCCTAGTCACGCAATATGAAACCGAATAATATTTGATTTTTGGGGTACGCACATTCCGACTCTTCTATTTATTCGGCTCCCACAATTGCCCCCCAAGAACTTTACCAACGACAGTTTGGCTGGAGTACTTAGTTTCGAATTTCGAAAAGTCAGAGCCAAAATTCGGCGGTTGGCCTCATCCTCATGCGGATATCTTAGCGCACCCCTTTCAGTTGTTGTGTCGACTACCCGCCCCCTCGTACGTGTCTATTTATTGCGATTTAAAATTTTGACGTCCTTTCGAGTATGTATTTTATGACGCTCGTCGCTGGATTGCCTTTTGAATCGTCCCTGCAACTCTCTTCTCCGATATCCTCTCCGTCCTTTGTAAGTTCTCTCATTCCTTGCTGCGAAAACTCTTTCTGATTTATTCATTCCTTGGCATATTCTTATAAACTGTAGGGCATAGCGAAACATTTAAAAGACCTTCTCTCGTCAGATCGAATTACTGGCTTTAAACGTCATTTCTCCATTCCTGATGATGTCAGTCTGTCGTTTGTGGCAGACGACACTCTTGATATGGATAGGGAGGACAAAACCACAATTATCTTTCCTCTTTTTTCAATCGCAGAGAGTGGAGTCCATTTTTCCCTTCACCCGTTTCTTAGGGTTGTGCTTCGCCATTGGGGTTTAATCCCTTCCCAATTCAATGTGAATTTCTTTAGAATTATAATGGGGGTTATAGCGCTCAACCGTCGCCTTTGAATTTACCTTGGCATTCCAGCCATCCGGCATTGCTATGCCTTGGCTAAGTTTTCTGGTCGGCACGGGCGTTTCTTCCTTAGGGCCAAGGATATCGACCATCAGCTAATTACTATGCTTTCCAGTTCTGGGAAACGAGTTGATGATGTTATGGTCGTTGTCCAGGGTAACTTGGAATTTGGTGAAAGGGAGGATCACGTCAACCCTATTCCTAGCCAGAGGGGCGAGCCAGGTGGCTAGTTGCCTTCTCACTTTTATTATTTGTTCATTTTTGTTGTAAAGTCTCTTCTTTGAAACGTTACGGCTTGGCTTGTGCAAGGAACGATTTGAAGAAAGTTCTGTCTTCAACTGACGACGCCGTTCTTTCGGATATCAAAGTCGCGCTCACGTATTTTGGCCGTCAAAGTCTTCAAAAACAAGGGAGGGCGACCCACGTTCTACTTCGTTACGAGCCGACATATACAACCTTCTCAGCGGCAAAAAATATCCCGGTTCCGGAGGGTGAAGATTCTCTTATCGCTCTTATTTTGTCCGACTTCAAAAACTTGAGACAGGTTGGTTTTGAAGGGTCTGATTCAAAGCGGGATGTAGCTAATGTTACCTGTACGGGAAAGAAATAAACCTTCTCGTATAATCCTGTTGACCAAGTCTGCGCTCCTCCGTACGACGTCGCCTTATCACCTGAAAACACAAACGTGAGCTAGCCGACGGGTGTGTGCCGGAAACCTCTCCGATGCCTAAGTCAGTAAACTTAACAAGTAGACAAAAGCTCTGTGTATTCAGAGAGCAAAGTTGTGTGTTACCTCTCCCAAGGTGATGTTTGTGAGCTTTTATAGGTTTCGCGTGGCATAATCCTAGTAGGACTTCTACTTCTCCATGTAGAGTCCTCCTAGGATTCATACTCCTATAGGATAATGCTTATCCTTTAACACCCCCCCACTGCTTAAACCAAGTGAGATGGTTTTTGTCATGGCCAAACTACCATACGATCGGAATAACACTACCATACTATACAGGCAGGCATGGCCGATCTGACTACTAGTTCGACTCTTCCCTTCCTTGCTTCTATCCCGGCTGCGAATGCTAAGACCGAGCTATCCATAGAAGTGTCAAGTCGAACTAACTCAAACTTCCCTGAAGAAGGTTCTCTTACTCTGGTGAGAAGAGATGACCGGGCTAATCCGTAATGTGCCGCAACCGAGCTGCCCTCAAGCCTATCTGACAACCGAACTAACCG